TATATGAAGCACATGCATTTTTATTCTATTTTAACACATTTTTTTCTTTTGTTACCTATTTTTTATGTTTAAATTTAGTATTTCTCTTCAATAACTTTTAGGTCATGTGACCTATTGAGTCAAAATCTGAGTGAATTTCAGTGAAATTGTTATAGATCTACAACAACATAGGGGTGCGGGTTTCATCCCCCTCTCTTAGAAGTGTAAAAGGGTGCGGGTGTTGTCTCCCCCTGGTTGAAAAGGGGTGCGGCTTTTAATGTTTTTATCTTTATTTTTTATTTATTAACTTTTATTTTTATTATTTTTTATCTCTTTCTCTTTCTTATTGTTTATTCAATGTTACATGACTGTGTTTCTGTTTTTAATTTTGTAAAGCACTTTGAAATGCCTTGCTGCTGAAATGTGCTATACAAATAAAATTTGACTGATTGATACAACTCTAGATCTATAACTCCAGACTGTTCCTCTTTAGGTGCAAAAATAATCAGTTTTGTTTCTGTTCAGCTGCAGAATGTTTTGGCACATATATCTGTTTTAAGCACCTATTCAGTGACTGGAGGGGTTCAGAGTCACCTGGTGACATGGTAATGTAGAGCTGTGTATTGACAGGGAATAAAAAGGGTCAAATCAAATAAAAATGAGTGTACCTCATCTGTACAGACTAGTAGAAGAATTTCATGTGACTCAATAGGTCACATGATCTAGATGCTATTGAAGAGAAATACTAAATTTAAACATAAAAAATATGTAACAAAAATAAAAATTTAGTTAAAATAGAATAAAAATGCATGTGCCTCATATACAGTTTAGTACAACAATTACACACTGATTTCTAGTCAATGTGACACACAATATGGAAGCTATTGAAGAAAACATATCTAATATTAAAATTATTTAAAATATTGAATATGACTTGACATTTTAATAGAGGGTAGTGTGTCTCATGTAAAAGCATGAATTACCACTTTTTTGTATCAGTCGGTCACAAGGCAAGGCATTTATTAACATTTGTTTGACAGGAGTGTTTAGTTCGGAAATTTGTTGACAATCCCTAAGTGAACCTCTGAGTGCCAAGGAGGGAGCTGGAGAACGGCTGGCCGAAATTAGCGTTCATAAATCAGATCAACCTTGAGCTAAACGCCGCTTACACGGCGGATATTGGAATATCCAATATCCAACTCGAAACTAACTTCACTGCAGTCGGTAACACAATAAAACCACCGAGATAAACGTTTGTTTTGATCTGTAGCCTGTAAAGATGGCACCGAGCGACTGTACCGAAATGCCCCACAACGTCTGACGCAGTGACGTTGGTTCCAAAGCTCTATTGGCCAATAGTAGAGGAGCTGGACATAGAAGGCGGCTCTTCTCATTAACATAACGATGCACACGGAAAATTAAAACCAGGAGAGAAGAGGCAATGACAAAAACAGGGCTTGTATAAGGAAAAGACCAAATTAAATATTTACTTTTCCTGACAAAAACGCATGCTTAGGGGAAATGAAAGAGAAAATATATACATTACTTTACAGAAACTCGTGTCTAAGGAAAAGTAAAAACTAAATATATATTTATGCTTTTATTTCATATGTCAGTTTTGGTCCTCCATAAATTATTAGAAAGCGATATTTGTGAATAAAAACTTAGCCAGAGGATTAAATAATTAATATCGTAATTTAACTCTTTATCCCCTGTTAGAAGACCAAATTTTATTATAATAAAATTTAAAGATGGAAAAGATTTCTAGAACAATATCCACTTTTGAAAATCTTTCTAAAAACGAAATAAGTTACAACTGAAAAAAAATGTGTATTGTCTGAAAATATGTCACAAAATGCACATTAATTGATTTTTATGTTGAATTTCTTTTGTAGAAAGTAATTACAGGAAAAACTTTATTCAACTTTATTCATCTTTATTCGTCTTTGTATTCTTTGATGCACAAAGAATACAAAAATATGAAAATTCATATCTTAATTTTTTGTGGGAGTGGAATAGAAAGGCATTTGGTTCTTATTTTCTTTAAATATTTCATCATAATTTTTAAACAAATGTTTTTTTCTCAGGCTAGAGAGAAAGAAAATAGCAGTCGGAGTGTTCCTTGTGAATTTCTTGTAACATTTCTATCAAGTCAAACATTCATAATTTATTTTAAGAATGACATTTTAATTCCATTCCTTTTTCTCTTTGTTAGCACATCAGCTTCACTTTATATCTAACATTAAGCCACATAAAAGATGTTTTTTTTCAAGAAACAACTCAAAATGTAATCATGTCTCTTAATTAGTCAAACCACAGGGAGAATTGCCTTTATGACTGTTAAATTCAATGTTAGTGCATTTTGATGAGTATTTTTTGTCATCCTGGAAATATAATGTTCACAGAACAAGTTGTGTCACAAAAGAAGAAAAATCAGCTTTCAAGTGTAATGTATTGAAATTTTTGTTTCACTCTACTGAGCATGTGCTATTACATCAAATTTTGCTCTGTATTCAACAAGTCTTAGCAAAACATGTTTGAACAGCTAAATATCTCTAGCAATGACGTTGGAAAGCAAAAATACTGTACATTAGAATCGATTTTTTTGTTGTTGTACTTTTTATCAGTCCAAGTGCCAAAAGAGTGAACAGCCCCATCATTTTGGATATCGAAGTTGCGACACAATGGCATACTGTCCCAATTCTCTAAATTTTGAACAATTATGTTCCCTTTGATTGAGTGCACACTTCATAGAGGGGCGTATGGCCACTGAGAGTATTGGAATAGTTCGAGCACAGCAGCAGGTTGACCTGAACAGAAGGAGGCCCTAAACAACAAAAAGAAATAAATAATAGCTCTACTCATTTAATCATTAGCATAACTTTGGATCAATAACATTTATCATTTGGCAAATAATAAATCCATCTAATTCTACTTCTTTTGAGTTAAATTTAAAAATGAATGCACAAAGAGTGCAAGGTACTTTGTCATTTATGATTTGTAAATAGAAATAAAAATCTGCAGGTCTGCACTGTAAAAACAACAACCAAAAAACACTTTGTTTTGAACAATCAACAGAAGAGAATGTCTTCATGGACTTTTCTTGATCAGATCACTGTGATTAATATCTGTTTTTTTCATCTATTCATAAGAAAAATGTTCTAAACATCACTTAAATCATGGAAAAGCTACATCCTTTCCCACTATAACATTACAGAACATAAATAAGTGAGGTAAAAGCTTCTCCATTCTTAGGAAGCCTTTATTTGCTTGGAAGTTCTACTCCTTGGAGGGATGATCTCAACCTTGAAAGGGATAAAGAATTCAAGCACAGATTTTGTGTCTTTTAATTCCAAGCAATATTCCTGAGCAATCTTTTCCGCCGACCAGGTCCGAGGCTGGTGCTGGTGGCTGCCGAGAGCCTTGAGAGCCTCGGCAAGGGTTAGCTTCCCTTTAGGAACATCTGCGAGCTCTGGCAGGCTGAACGCGCTTCCTGGTAAACGGACTCTGAGGGGCCTCCGGTCTGCTTCTTTACCTGCAGACGCATTCCCCGAAAACTGTGGGGAAATGACACAGCAGGCAGTTGGTATAAAAAAACCAGGGCTGTTGTAAACAATTATTTTAGCATTCAAGTAATCTATTGATTATTCTGACGATTAATCAAGCAATCAAATAAAACATTTGATAAAATATTGATAACTACTGCCATAAAGTATTAATCAACATTGGCCCAAATTTACATTTCTAACAATTAACTTTCCTGCAGTTTAAAAAAATGTAATTGTAACAATAAGCTTAAATAAAGCTCAATTTTTAAGTAACCTGGACAAAATGTATTAAAAATAATACAATTACTTGCATTAAAAAGTTTAATACATTAAAATCTGCGCTGCTAATTATTTCAAATGAATACATTAAAGTCCTGACCATAATTTTTAGCTAGGGCATAATTTTGATGTAGAAAAAAAATGTTTTATTTTGTTTACGTTTTCAAATAACATAAAAATGTTGATTTGGTTGGCACTTAGCCCAACCAAATCAGATCTTAACAGAACTTATATTTATTCCAGCTGTCTTTAGTCATGTATCTCTGCCAGCTTTGCACATCCAAAGGCCAAACAATTTTGCAGATTTCTTCTTAGCAATGAAGTTTGACTAATCTCTATTAGTCAAACTGGATCAATCATCTCTACAATTTGTCAAAAATGATTCTTTGAATTTACCTCTGTGCTTTAACTAGGGCATTTTATTACAAGCACATGATGACTTCTGAAGGCTATTTGTTACACTGGATTTTAATTAGGGGTGTCAGGGTAAAGTGGGCTTCATAAATAGATATACGCTTCACTTTTTGGATTTTAACGTGTAAAAAATATTACAATCATCTGATTATTTCGTTTAATAAACAGACCTGCTCTAGTTTGTGTTGGTCTATCAACTAGAACACCAATAAAATGCATTCAACCCAGTCCTGCTCAGCCTGGTCTAACTGAGGACAGAACGGAGACATTCTGAGGTCCTGCTGTCATTCAGCAGAGACAGAGACAGAGACATGTAGGATTCAGTCTGACCTCTGGAGTTGTTTTTCCGCCGACTGTTGGATCCGTGGACTCGACATACACAGACCTGAGATGTTCCAATAACGACTCATTCTTCTTCATCACCGACTCCGAGGCTATAACACACAGAACAAACCAGTTACCACACATAACCCGAGGCAGGTTCTAGAAAAGCGAGCCCACAGTGGGTATGACCCTTGAGGTTACCCAAGCAGCTCAGCCTCTCACCCTCGGAGCTAACGGCGGACGGCGTCGCTGTGGTCGCGTGCCGGGGTGCTGACCTCGGCTTCTCTTTGGAGATTTCTCGCAGCGCGCGGTTCTCCACATTATAGTTTCGGAACATCCGCGCGAGTCGAGCACCCATGCTGGTTGTGTCCCAAAACCCTTCTTCTTCCTCCTCCTCCTCCTCCTCC